CTCCAGGAGGTCTCCATTCCAGGGAGTAAAGATTATGTACTTAAGCATGATTGTACCCTCCTGGCACTTAGTTAAGAGGTTTTATTCCCTCCCTAACTTCAGGGGGAAATCCCTACCTGGGGAAACAACCTTTCTCGGAGAGGTGACCTTGGTTAAAACACATAGTGCCAAGAAGGTGAGCAAACATATTAAGAACAGCATGCCATACATGCCAGGTCCCTTGAAACAGCAAGGATGGACCGGCTCCCGGCAAGTTAGGTCCTCTTTTTAGATCATTCTTGTATCAAATAGCCCAGACAATGTACCCCGCTTTTGCTTTATCATGTTCTGTCAAGCTGAGCTCTAGCTGGTTTTTTAGCTTGCCTAAATTCTAGACTCAAGCCTGGCAAACAAAAAGTACTTTAACAGACTCATATCCCCACATGAATCAAGCTCTCAGACCTGGGATTCTGGAACTCAGGAACAAAAATCCCCTTAAAACTTAAGAGTCAACATCATCAGTCAAGATCAGTATATGGTGCCTTCAGGGAGAACCATGGGATGTTCATATTATCCCCAAGATGTATTGTTACCATCTTTGCTCCAGTGACAGCAAAGGTTATAAAGCTACTTATTTGTCCCTCCCCTAAATTACAACCAAATTTCTACCCAGTATTCCAGCACCCATTAGTGTTGCTGCCCTACTCTGACCATCTAGTTGCTGGCCCATGGCTATATTGATCTTTAGACAATATCCTTCCTTCATGGAGTTCTGAATAATGCCTATTCTGAGAAGGGACTTTGTCTTAGCCTGGGAATCTTCATTTCCCCTTTTCAAGATAAATCTGTTCACCGAAGCTGGTCTCTGACCTGTTAGAATCTCGGCTAAGATTCCTTGACACACCCTGTCCCAGTCAGCCTGTCTAGAATCATCACTGTAGCAGCTTCAAGTCTCCATGCTCACAGAGCTTCCTTCAGGCAACATATCTTTGTCATCTCCACATCCTCTGTATCACCTGATGATACAGTACTTGACTCGTAGGAGATACTTAATAAATAAGGAAATATAAAGGACAGAAGGAAGGAAATGAAAACAAATAAACTGGTCATTCTCTTTCCTCCTGGAAACTCACTTCTCTTTCTGTAGGTTCTCAATCTGTTCAGTCAGCACTCTCTCCTCCTGCTGCATAGCTGCTTGCTGCTGTTCTGTGATGTCCATCTCCATGGCTGCCTCACTAGTCAAGGTCTCTTCTGGGACATCAGACATAGAGGGCAACCGAACTACAATAGGAGAGGATGGACTTGCATAGCTTCCTTGACGAAGATACCCCTTTCCCTAAAAAGAAAAATATATGTTGTAAAGTAAATTGAGTGTCTACATCAGTTTTACGTGACCCATTTAGAATAACAAGAGTACTTCCATCATACCAGGTGAATGTTAGGAATAAATGTTAGAAATAAGTTCTGTAAGGCCCAAGATACTTAGTGAGATACCATCCATCAAATACATTTAGATTAAATATTTCTTTCAAGAGCACTGGGAAATGAATACTTCAGCACGTGGGAGTATAAGGACACATTGTGTACTGGGATGTGATTCTTCTTGTAAATATAGGCTGCATCTACTCCAAACTAAATATCCATACATGGCTATTTAAATGTAAATCAATTAAAATTAAATAAGTAAAAATTTATTTCTGCATTTTCACTAGCGACATTTCAAGTTCTCAACAGTCACAGGTGGTTAGAAGCTACCATATTGAACAGTGCAGATACAGAACATTTCCATCATCACATAAAGTTCTGATGGATAACAATGCTCTTCACCTTTAACTGTGGAATGCACAATCTCTCAAGGAAGACTATAGAAACATGTCCCGAAACTCAGTTTTATTAAAAAAAAAATCATTTCTATATCACAGGGTGCTGGTGAGAGAGATTCTCTGAGAACAACTCAAGAAATTTCTTTCTTGCCGAAACCGGTTTGGCTCAGTGGATAGAGCGTCGGCCTGCGGACTGAAAGGTCCCGGGTTCGATTCTGGTCAAGGGCATGTACCTGGGTTGCGGGCACATCCCCAGTAGGAGATGTGCAGGAGGCAGCTGATCGCTGTTTCTCTCTCATCGATGTTTCTGGCTCTCTATCTCTCTCCCTTCCTCTCTGTAAAAGTTCAATAAAATATATTTTAAAAAAAAAAGAAATTTCTTTTTTGAGATCAGAGGGGGGAAAAATTCTTATTACTTTTAAATTGGTTACTTTATATATAACTTTAGCTGCTGATAATGGCAGATTAGGTATTTCAGATTATCTCAGCAGGAGTGCCGAGAACAACTGGACCAAAAACACAGAAAACCCAACATATTCTTAAAGGCACCAGAGAGCTAACAAGATAGGCCAAGGAAAGGTGCTGGGCTAATCTAAATTTAAGAAAAGGTGGCTGAGATCTGAACAGAGCTTCTGACAGACTATATCAGGGGTCAGCAAACTACAGCTCCTGGGCCAAATCTGGCCTTGTGCCTGATTTTGTAAAAAAAGTTTTATTGGAATACATTCATGCTCTTTAATTCACACATTATCTATGGCTCTTCTGCAGAACCATGGCAGCATTAATTGTTGCAACTAAAACTGTAAGGTCTACAAAGCCTAAAATATTTACTCTCTTGTCCTTTTCAGAAAGAGTCTGCCAACCCATGGGGGAGAGAATAAAAGTGGGAATCCAGAACCATACAAGCGTGTGGGCTCCATGCCTGACACTGGGATCCCCAAGATTTATATCCTAGACCTCAGGGTAAACTGAAATCATAATAGTCCTTGCAGATACTGCAGCCTATCTTCAAGTCAGTTGAATAGTCCAGAAAATTGTAATCCTGAAATTGAATTAAAGTAAGCCAGATTTTTAGTGCCCTGGCACCTGGCAGAAAAAGTAAAAATACTATTTAGAGGAAAGAAACATCATCTCAGGCCTCAAAATATTTTTAGAAATAATTTTTTAAATACTGTGTCTGACACACAAAGGTAACCAAGAACAAAAGGAAACAAGACAATGTAAATGAAAACCAGTAAAAACAACAGAAAACAGAAATCCTCAATGATTCCAGACATTGTACTATAAGACAAACTTAAAATAACCATGTTGAAGGAGATAGAAATACATTGTTGAATTAATGGTCCAGAAGTTAGATCAGAACAAAATATAAAGAATCAAGCAGAATAAAACAAAACAAAACATAAAACTTTCAGGAAAAATTCGAAAAAGAAGGTAAACAACAGGACACAATAAAAAGACCTACTATATGTAAATATAAGAGCGATTCTGTAGAAGAAATATTAAAGAGAGAATGGCAGAGCATTTTCAAGACCAATTAAAGATGTCACCCTACTGACTAAAGAAAGCCTTCCACCTATAAGAAAGATACACTTAAAAAGTCCATACCCAGATACAATTGCTAAAAATCAAAGGCAAGAGAAAATCTTAAAAGCAGTAAGAAAAAAAAATGTAGCTGCAATAAAGAAGCAACTTTTCAACAGAAACAATGGAAGCAGAAAATAGATATTTTTAAAGTGATGAAAGAAAAAAGTAACTGCTAATCTAGAATTCTATACATAGCAAAACAACTTTCAAGAATTCAATTGCAATGAAGACATTTTTAGTCAGTCTAAGAGAATCTGTCACCAGCAGACCCGCACTAAAGAAGAGATAGAAAATGACACAAGAAGAAATGTTAGTGAGGGAGAATGAAGAACAATGAAAATAGTAAATATGTGACTGAATCTAAATGAAAAGTGACTGCATAAAACATAATAATAATACATTGGATTAAAAATAACAGATAATTTCAAATACAAACAGCAACTATATCATAACTAAAGCATATTAAAGTTCTTGCATTATCTTGGAAAAAGATAAAAGTACCAATGAATAGACTTTGGTAGGTAATGGATTTTTATTGTAACCTTTAGTTTAATGACTAAAAGAAGCGTAAAAGAGTATAAAACCTTTTAAACTAACAAAAGAAAAAAGTGGAATAATAAAAAATAGTCAAAGAAAAAGGCAAAAAGGAACAAAAAAGCAAGAAAGAAAAGGAACATGTGTCAGGTAAAGTAAAAGCACATCATAAAATAATAGATTTATATCCAAATACATCAGTGATTACATTAAATGTAAATTGATTAAATGCTCTAGTTAAAAATTTAATGATTATCAGACTGTATTTTTTAAAAAAATCAAACTATATGAAGTCTACAAGGGACACATATAAAACATAAGAATTCAGAAAGGCAGAGAATAAAAGGATGGAAATAAAAGGCATAACATGTCTAATCAAAAGGAAACTAGTGTCGCTATTTTAGTTCTAGACAAAGTAAACTTTAAGGTAAGAAGTGTTACCTGTGATGAAGAGGGATATTTCACAATGACAAAAATTCAAATTATGAAGAAGATATAACATTATTTCCAAATTTGCAAATATCCATTTCTGAAGAAATGGCTTCAGAAATTTAAAGTACTTTTCTATCTGGCCGCAGCCATCACAGGTCTTAAAACATTAGCAGACTCATAAAACCTCTTAAGTCCTAAAATTCTTTCCACTTAAAAAATCTTAAACCATCTATTTTGTGTGTAAAAGTTGTTCAATTTAAGGAATAAACTTAAAAAAATAAATTTAAAGTAAAATATTGACAAAAACACTCAAAGAAATTGACAAAGCTATAATCGTCACAGAGAAAACAACTGTGTACAAACAAATCAGTAAGCTATGGATCTGAACTACTTAAAATAAAGTGATAATAACAGACATACAGAATTCAGTATCTAACAACTACAGAACACTCGTTATTTTAAGGCACATACAGCAAAGACAATGCATTTTTTAGGGTTGAAATAATTTATCTGACCTTTAATTTAAAATAAGTTTACTAACAAAACAATTATAAGGGGAAAACTAAAAACACCTATATATTAAGAAATAGACCTCTAACACACTCAGAGTCAATGGAAATTAGAAAATATTTTTAATTAATCAACAATATCAAAGTCTGTCGGATACAGTTTAACCCAACCTACCTTTAAATTATAGCTTTATATATGTATTTTTCTCTAATAAGCAACAAATAGAAAAGGTTAAATTTTAAAGTAAGCATTTTTCCCCCAGGAACAACAAACTAAATAAAGAACAACAAAATAAATCCAAGGAAAGGAAAAAAATAAAGAGAAGGGTAAATAAACATTAGAAAAGAGAGGACAAAATCCAAAATGTAGTTCTTTGAAAAGACTAATAAACAAGTTAAAATCCTGGCAAGATGAAGATAAATAGAGAATTCACAAGTAACCAAAGGCAGAAGCGAAAAAGGAACATCATACAAAACTTATAGACATAAAAAGGATAAGAGGCTACTATGAACAACGTTGTCAATAAATCTGAAATTTTATACAAAAATATAAGTGGAGAAATTCTAAGAAAATCCAAGTAATTAATACTGTCAATAAAGAAATACAAAAAAGTGAATAATCTTATCAACTGAATCCATAAATTCATGCTTTCAAGATAGAAAACTCTAGGCCTGTATGATTTCATTAGCAAAAAAAGAAGAAATAACATACAAATCACACAAATTCTTTACAGAATTATAAAAAGGACTATTCTCCAACTCATTCTTAGAGGGCAGCATAACCTTGATATCACGACACAACAAGAATATGGCCCTGGCTGGTATGACTTGGTTGGGTGTCATCCCATGCACCAAGAGGTTGCCAGTTCAATTCTTGATCAGGGCATCTGCCTGGATTGCCAGCTTGATCCCTAGTAAGGGGGTGTGCAGGAAGCAGCTGATTAATGTTTCTCTTATCAGTGTTTCTGTCTCTCTTTCCCCTCTCTCTAAAATCGATTAAAAATCAAAGACATAACAAGGATATGAAAATTAAGAACTATTATAAGACAATTTTACTCATCAACACAGGTACACAAACTCTAAACAACTAAGAAGGGTATTACCTCATGACTAAGTTGGATTTATTGCGGTAGTACAATGATGGTTTAACATTAGAAAAACACTTGGTATAATATGACATATCCTATCTAATAAAAGAGAAACATGGTAATTGGCGTATGACCACTACCCTTCCCATTGGCTAATCAGCGAGATATGCAAATTAACTGCCAGCCAAGATGGCGGCCGGCAGCCAGGCAGCTTGAAACTAACATGAGGCTTGCTTGCTTCAGTGACAGAGGACTGCAACGTTCTCGCCTGCCTTGCCGGCCTCTGAGCTTGCAGTTTGAAACATTGTAACAAATATAGAAG